CCTCGTCGACCACGAGCTTGGATACTGAGAAAACAGGTTGCGCTTTTTGTGTGGTGTTTACCCTTCCGCTCCCCAGGCGGCTCTGTTCTTGTTATCCTTCACCAATTGTAGTCGGGTCTTTGATCCCGCCCCTCCCAGAAACTCCTTTGCTTTAATCACTTTGGAACCAATACATGGGGACCCTTCCTCTCGCTGCAACCTTCATTTCACATGTATAGTTGAGTCGGAGCAGAGAAGTCAAAGATGGGAAGGTCGGGAGCGAACTCGGCCAAACTCTCCTTGATGCACTCGGCGAAGCCGACGAGCGAAAACTCCACACCGACCTCCACGACGGATACTCCCCCCTCGTGGAGCGACAAAACAAGGTCGTAAGATATCTGGCCGGTAACGAGCAGGTCGCACGACAGATCCGGAAGCTGCCACACGAGCGACTCTGTCGCCGAGCCCGGAAGAAACGCCAGCCGGCGAACACGGCCGGCCGAGGCGACGCCCGCGCCAGACTCGTCCGACGAGTCCACCGCGGGCCGCTGGTTATCGTAGGCCTGAGCCGGCGCGGGGGAGACGCGAACCGTCGCCGACGGCAAATTGAACGCCCGACGGATCCGCGGGAGCATCTCCGCAATCGTAACAGGCGCGGCCAAGTCGCCCCAGAAACCGACGCCGTTCGGATGCATCCCCGCCGGCGAGTACGCCGGCAACCCCGTCTCGGGCAGCGGCGCGACCGCAAACACGTCGACGGCGGGCTCCTCGTACGGGTGCGCTTCCCGCATGGCTCGCAGCGTCGCGCGCACCAGCCCCCACGGCACCGCGACTTCGACGCGGTCTTCGACCACCTGCTGCCGCGCCCGGGTGTCGTCCGCCCGGTCGCCGAGCACCGCCGGGCTCGCGGCCCCCGTAGCACGGAACGTGCCCGTCCCGCCGCTCTGCGTGAAACTGCACTCGGCGTACTCGCCGATGCGCCCGGCACCCGCACGGAACATGCCCGCAAGCACCGCGTCGCGCGACTCGCGCGGCACAAACGTCGCGACCTTGAACGGCTGCGCGAGCAGCGGCGCCGCTACCGTCCCCGTCGCCGCCGCAAAGCGACCCGCCGGCGGAACGGCCACGCCAAGCCGCCCCAGCTGCCGACCACCACCATCAGGCCCTTCCTCTTTCGCGCCGCCGCCGCCGCCCACTCCGCCGTCGCCGCCAAGCAGCACCCGCGCAACCCTCGCCGCGCTCGCAACGTCCCTCGCGAAGCCCGCCCGCGCGACGCACACCGCCGCGCCGCCCCGCGCCGCCGCCGCCGCAAGCAGCCCCAGCCCTCCGCCCCCGCCTCCTCCTCCGCCGCCGCGGCTCGCGCCCGTCGCCGAAATCCACCACCGCGATGCTCCTCCTCCTCCTCCTCCTCCTCCTCCGCCGCCGCCGCCGCCGCCGGCGCCCTCCCGCGGCACCTCACTCGCGACCACAAGCACCGTCCCCCCCGGCCCGCCAGCGGTCGCTGTTTCCGCGCAGCAGCGGCGCAGGATCGCGGGCAGCGCGGCGGCCGAGAGCGCGGGGACGACGGCGACGGCGCGCACCGCGGCTTCTGGAGACGACGGCGGCAGGAGCAGGCCGTCGTCGCAGTCGCGGGCGGCGCCGGGGCCGGCGGCGCCGAGGGCGATCTGCGGCAGGCGCGCTTCCAGGGCGGCGAGGACGCGGCGCATGGGCGGCGGTGGGTGGGAGGCGGGAGAGGTCATGCAAGCGGATGGTACGTATGTGACAAGGAAGGACTCGGGATTTGAACTGCTTTTTTTTTTTTTTTTTTGGTTTTTTTTTGCGGCAACTACAAATATTGCAGAAGGACCACACGCCAGCTCCCAACTTTCTCACTAGTTCGAGCAGTTCAGGAGGAGGCGCAACGAGGTGCACACTGGAATGTGTCCAAGTTGTGAAAGCGTGGGACGCTTCCTTGGTTTTCCACAACGCGTGTTGTGGGCCATTGAATTGTCTGTCGGTTGGAATTTGAATACAGCGCGGGAACGTCCTGGCGGCCCAGTTTCCATCCCACCCACCCCTGGTCGCACGCCCATCTTCCGCCAGGGGGTTCGGAATCCCGTGAGGCTTCCACATACTGAATGCTACAAAGAATTAATACCATATTGTATAGCAGAACGTAGTTGACGCTGAATAGGAACAACTCCGTTCGCATATTAGAGTTAACAGACTGGCAGGGTGGGGGGGAGAGTGCGGCTTCAAATTATTTTTTTTCTTGTTCACACACGGAAGCTGAACCGCCCTTTGTCCTTGCCTGCTTCGCCTTTCTTTTTCGTTTTTTTCCCCCCCTTTTTCTTTTTCTTTTCCTGTTCTTTTTTCTTGCAGGGTTTCTCTTTGCCGTACTCCGACCGCCAAGGATCGTTACGACGACCTCAAAGAGTGGGCCTCTCTCCATACTTCATTCTTTTGGTTCAGTCAGTTGGAGGGGCAAAGTCGATTTCCGCGGTTGGGGGACAAATACACACCACACACACACACCCGTTGGTGTTGGGGTCGGAACGGAAATGGAGACGGACCGCCGGCGAATTGGAGAGCGAGCGAGAGAGTGACGGAGGAAAGAGTGGGAGAGAGAGAGAGAGAGAGAGAGAGAGAGAGGGAGAGAGAAAGAGTGTGTGCGTGTGTGAGAGAGTGAGAGAGAGAGAGAGAGAACAAGTCCCCGGCCGGCTGTGGTTTTGCCGATTGGCAAGGTCCCCGTTCGCCAAAAAAAAAAAAAAAAAAAAAAAAAAGAAATTGTTTGTTCTTTCCATGGGTGTTTTTTGTCCTGTTGGTCATGCACGGGCGGTCATGCGCCTCCCTCCGCGGTCCCCGTGATGTCTGTCTGCCTGTCTTTTTCGATCAGCCTGTCTGTCTTTGAGCTGCTCATCTATGTCTGCCTGCCTGCCTGTCTGTCTGCAAGCCTATCCCCAACGTTTCTTAGTTTGTCTCTGGCGCCAATACAAAAATGGAAGTGGAGCCAACAAAAAAAAAAAAAAAAAAAAAAAAAAAAAAGAAGGCACACCACAAGGGAATCGACAAAAATAATTTCATATATGTCCTCATCATCATCGTCTATGTCTCTGTCGCTGCCCCAGTCCCTCTCCTCGTCCGCCTTGGCCTTGCGGGGCCTGCTCCTTCGCTCGCTTCGGTCGGCGGCGGATGCGGCGACGGCCACGACGGCGAGGACGACGACGACCATCGCCGCCGCCGCCGCCGCCGCCGCCGCCTACCTCGTGCTCGTCAGGCTGCTGCGCTACCGCAGGATCAACGCGATCCGCCGCCGCTACGCTTGGGTCAAGGACCCCGCCAAGGACCTGACCCTCTCCCACGCCCGCGACATCTACCTCCAGACCCTGCGCTACGAGTTCCCCTTCATGACCTCTACCTCCACCCAGCTCGCCCTCTTCCGCACCTACGGTCTGCCCAAGATATCCATCCTCCTCGCCGCCACCCAGCAGCTCTGCAACCCGGTCTACTACGCCCGCCGCTACGCCGACACCGAGGTCGCCATCCTCGACTGGACCCTCGAGCCCCCCGACTCGCGCCGCGCAAACGCCGCCATCGCCAGAGTCAACTGGCTGCACGAGCACTACAAGAAGCACATTGACCGCGACACGATGGTCTACACCCTCTCGGTCTTCGTCGTCGAGCCCGCCAAGTTCATCGCAGACTTTGAGTGGCGCCCGCGCACCGACCTCGAAAACGAGGCGGCCGCCCTCGTCTGGCACACCGTCGGCCTCAAGATGGGCATCGCAGACCCGCCGCGCACCTTCGCCGACTTTGTCAAGGCCAACGAGGACATCGAGTCGCGCCTCATGCGCTTCCACCCGGACAACCGCTCCGTCGCCGACGCCAGCCTCGACATCTTTACCGCGCGCTTCCCCACCGCCGCGCTCCGCCGCGCCATCCGCCCCGTCCTCGTCGCCACCATCGACCCCAAGCTCGCCGCCGCCCTCGGCCTCCCCGCCCCGCCCGCAGCCCTGCGCTCCCTCGTCCAGGCCGCCCTCAAGTTCCGCGCCCTCGTCGTCCGCCACGCCATGCTCCCGCGCCTCAGCCCCGCCCCGGCCCTCGAGTTCCGCGACGGCAAGCTCTTCCGCTCCGACCCCACCGTCGCCGTCTACCTCCGCCCGACCCTCTGGCAGCGCTGGGGCCCGCCCGCCTGGTACGCCCGCGCCGTCGGCACCCCCGTCGCCGGAGACGACGGCGCGTTCGGCGAGGGCTGCGACATCCAGGACCTCGGCCCCGTCAAGTTTGTCGGCGTCGGGAGGGAGGACGTGAAGCGCCGCGCAGACGCGCTGCTCAACGGGGAGCTGCCGCAGCCGGTTTGGGTCGAGTGATTTTTGGGGGGGGGAGCTGGGGGGTTTGCTTCTGTGTTGGTGTGCGTGCGTGGATCTGTGTGTAATTCACAGCCGCCTCTCTTCGCTTCGTCTATTCAGCTCCCACACTTTCGTCCCATCGCGCTCAGTCGGTAAACACCTCCTCTATTGCCTGTTTTTTCATGTTGTCTCTTTCATCGGCTCGATCTCTTTTCCTTTCTTAATTCCGTGAATAGTCCCGGCCGGAACGGATCTCATCCCGTGTTAGTGTTTTACTCTTCCATTTTTTTTTTTTTTGTTTCCCGTCAATTCAAATGGCAATTCAAAAAAACGATGAAGTTCGAAGTGCTTGCCTTTCAACGCTTGCGCGGAGAACCGGCTTGTAGCAAAAGCAAAAGGTATCGCCATCCCAAAGCCGGCTTCCTGTCCTGTGACCCAATTTTGCACGACTCGAGAGAGAGTGGCTGGCCGTCGCCTTCGCCAGGCACTTGCATGGTAAGAAGAATTCGGCTTTGTGATCCACTTAAAATGAGGGCTTGCAATCTGCTGAGGTTAGCCCCTGTTCAACCCATTCCCAACAGCAGTGCAAGCCCGACCTGCTGCAATAGTGCGCTGCCTGCTTGAGGATCGCAGTTGCAAGCAGGATAATGGCCGGTTACGGACCCTCACGAAAGAAAAGAGCGAACCCCAGCGCGTCCCACACAGGATTCGAACCTGCGCTCCCTGAAAGGGAATAAGTCTTTACTTGACAAACGCGTTGGACCACTCCGCCAATGGGACGTTTCGTCCTAGTTGTCAACTACTAATTCACTTTACTTTAAGTAAGCAATCGTAAATGTGGAACTCTCAACCAAATCATTCGTTGCCACGAAACAACGGGACCAAAAAACGGGAGAGGTACAAGAAATACTCGTCAGGGGAAGACAGATCGATATTTGTGAAGCCGTTGTCGGGAGGGGGGGGCCAAAAACACGCCGCAAGCTTTCAACTCGCTGAGAACGTTCCTGCACTTGGAGGTTGGGAAGGCGTTGGGGCATGGGAACCCATGTGGGGGACTCACTCAAAGGGCTGTGAGCCGGTGATTGCAAATGGAGTTGGAGGTGGGAACACTGCACACGCTTTGCCTGAGGAAGTCTCGAATCTGTTCGGCCAGACGTCCACGTGCTGGTATTGACGAGAAAGACAGCACCCCCCGAATTATCGCATTCAGGCTTGACCCAAGAAAGACACCCGCCGCAGTCGGATTTTCTCCCGCCAGGCGGCAGCCGCTGCTGGTGCCGTGCGGTTCCATTTTGCTACTGAAAAAATAGAGTTCTGTTCGTCGCCTTCGTCCACCCACGATCAGGCTGAGTGGGCTAGGGTCTGGATACCATACAACAAGTTGCGCTCCCTGAAGGACCTGTCTTGTCCAAAGTGATTCTTCCTTTACGCAAACGATCCCACTGACGGTTTCCAGTAGCATTTATTCACTTACTTTTTTTTCTTTTTTTTTGCTGCGGAGTTGGGATTGCAGAACATGCACCACTCAAAGAGCGTGTGGGGCGCTCCTGATGCTGTTCTTGATAGTCTGGGATTCCGAAAAGCATTTGCCTTCAAAGTACTTTATCTCATTCGGCCAAAACTCATTCATTGTATTACTTTTTCACGGAACCAAGAAAGGACGGAATCATTTTTCGGACGGCTCCCGCCGCAAAAAGTGGCTGAGGGGGTCTTCAAAAAAGGTATGAGATATTTTTTTTTTTCAGAACTGGAGGCACGACTATTCGACAACTGAGGGAGGGGCAGGGAAGGAAAAATTAAAGGTGGGGCCAGTTCGATTGCCACAGGTGCGTGTCGTGTTTTCGTCCGCACACGGTCTGCTTGGAGGCGGGCGGACGCTTAATCGCAGATGTTGTGGTGTCCGACCCAGCAGGGGCCTACAGAACCAAAACGGGAGGGAGGGGGGGGAGGACGTTGCAGGAGGTCGGGTACGGGCGGTGGGGGAAGGAGGGGAAAAGAGACGGGAAGCAATTGCGAAAGGTCTGGTTAGCCGTCGTTCCGTTTTTGGCACGCGCCCGGTTTGGAGAAAGGGAGCGAAGAGATTGTTTTTATTGTGCGTACCGGTGGGGTTTCCGCAGTCGCCGTCGGGGCACTTGACGGGGTTCGCGTTGACCGAGCCGGCGGCGGCGGCGGCAAAGGCAAGGAGGGCAAGGAGGGACGCGACGCTGAAGCGCATTTTTTTGTTTCGGCTGAGGAGAGAGAGAGTGTGTGTGTGTGGGTGTGTGGTTGGTGTGGGCTGGGTGAGACCTGGAACGTCGCAGTTTATAAAGGCGCGTGCAATCAGCCGGACTGGCTTGTGGTCATGTTGTTTGCTCTTCTTTTTCCCTTTTCGCCCATGTCACGTTGAGGTAAGACAGGGCCTTACTTTCGCGACTGAAAATGGAAATTTTCGCCACCTCCAGAGCTTATCGCAAGCATCCCACCTGCGTGCATGGGTGACTTTATCTTTCCACGCGTGAGCCCGGGTAAATGGGAGTAGCTGGAGATATTCCGAGAAGGGCAGAGAGGTGGAGTGAGATAAGGAGTGCGCGGAACCACAGGTGAAAGACACTGCCGGCCTGCCGCCCTTAAATTTGTTTGGCATTTCGCTGACCGGCTGTAAACCATTATTTACAGTGGCCCTGACTCTGAGGCGAGACATGCCCCCAGACAAAGACAGACCACATCACAGTAAATGGGACGCAGGGCTGCGTCCGGCTACATACGGAACCTCTCCTCCTCCCCGAGTGTCGAATTCTTTCCGTGAAATCCGATTCTTCACGGCACGAACGGGATTGCAGTGCGAACCTCGCCCGATTTAACCTCATTTGCTGTTTTGCGATATGGCCATTGCTTGTATCTCAGCTTGTCACTGCGCTTTTCTGGTTTTTTAAGAGTAACTTTTCTCCTTGCGTGTTCAAGCACCACTTTTTTGAATAACATAGGGGGCAGAGTTATTTTTGTTGTTGCTGCAAGATTTCTTCGTGTATTTTTTTTTTTTTCTTATCCATCCTCAGTTTGCGTCAAAAAGCCCCTTTTGGGAGGTCCCCTTTCGCGAAACCACTGGATGGATTGCACAAAACAAGTGAAGGTGTTTTTTAAAGACAATGGGCCCAACACAAAAAAGGACTTTCTGTTCCTAAAGCAAAAGATGGGCACAGTGTGATGACTTGTGGGAGGCAAAAAGGAGAATGTCACAGCGTGAAAGAAGAGGTTTCAAACAGACAAAAAGCAAAATGTACAAAACAGAGAGGCAAGGGGAAGATGAGGGTGGGGGTCAAGGCTTTTTTTTAAAAAGGTTTTCCATAAAACAGTTCTGGGCCAGGAAAAAAAAAACGTACACTACAAATACATAATCGCGAGGTAGAAAACAGACGAGAATCGCGAATAGAATCTTTGGGGCACGCGGCTTCAAGGAGCACAAAGTCGAGTTCCTTCGTTCAGATGGTGAACTGGGCGGTGGCGCGAATGTCGCCGCTGGACGCGCCGACGTAGACGGTGTAGGTGCCGGACGGCACAACCCACGCCTGTTGGACAACGTCCCAGATAGGCAGGAAGAAGCTGTCGATGTGGAGGCTGACGGTTGCGGAGCGGCCGGCCTTGATGTTGACCTTGTTAAAGTCCTTGAGCTGCTTGACGGGCGAGTTGGTCGCGGCCGGGTAGCCGAGGTACAGCTGGACGACCTCGTTGCCCGGGAGCGCGCCGGTGTTGCTGACGTCGACCGACACGTCGACGCCGTGGCGCGACGCGGCGGTGACCTGGAGGTTCGAGTACGCGAACGTCGTGTACGACAGGCCGTGGCCGAACGGGTACAACGGCTTGACGCCCGTCTTGTCGAACTGGCGGTAGTCGAAGTACAGGCCCTCGCTGTACTGCACCTTGGGCTGCTCGGCCTCGGGCACCTGCTTGAAAGCACCTCGCGGTACGTGCCCCACTCGACCGTGGTGCCGTTGGGGAACGTGTGCGTCCGCGTCGTCTTGACGTTGTAGTCGGCGGTGCTGCGCGCGATCGAGAACGGCAGCCGGCCCGACGGGTTGTAGTCGCCGTACAGCACGTCGACGAGCGAGTTGCCCGACTCCTGGCCCGGGTACAGCGCGACGATGATCGCCGTCACGTTCTCGTTGTCGACCCACCCGGACATGTCGACGGGGCTGGGGATGTTGAGCACCACGACCGTGTTCTTGTTGACGGCGGCCACGGCCTTGACCAGCGCGTCGCCGTTCGAGTCGAGCGCGTACGACGGCCGGTCGCCGGACTCGGTCGCGTACGACTTGACAAACACCAGCGCCACGTCGCCCAGCGCCGCCACCGACGCCGCCGTCGCGAGGTCGCTGTCGTTCAAGGAGTGCTTCACCCGCGAACCCGTTGTCCGCGGCGCGCGCGCTGAGCGCGGCCAGCGGCGTCACCAGGTACGGGAACCGCGTCGGGCCGGACCCGCCGCCCTGCGCGACGTGGCCGGACGGGTCGACGCCGCCGGACTCGTACGCGGCGCCAAAGGTCGCGTCGGAGCCGATGACGGCGACGGAGCGGGCGGCCGAGGTCAGCGGCAGCACGCCGCGCGAGTTCTTGACGAGGACGGCGGAGGCGGCGCCCGAGTTGCGGATGGTGCTTGCGGTGGGTGCCCTGGACGTTGACTTTGGAGTCCGCGAGGCTGACGGTGCGGGTGGCGCCGGTCGGCAGGCCGACGTAGTAGGCGGACGACAGGATGCGGGTGACGGCGTCGGTCAGGCGCGCGTCGGACACGTGGCCGGCCTGGGCGTCGGCGAGCAGGTTGCTGCCCCAGCAGTAGCCGGTCTCGAAGGCCTCGGCGCCCGGGTAGCCGTAGACGGTGTTTTCAAAGGCGCCCTCGCCGTTGCAGACGGTGCTCCACGCGGCGCCGGGCATGAGCATGTCGAGGCCGGCGTTGGCGGCCTTTGTCTGGTTTGTCAGGGCCCACCAGTCGGACATGATGAAGCCTTTTTCGTCCGGTTCATTGGGTTTGTTTTGGTTTTTGGTTTTTGGTGGCGGGGGGTGGCGGGGATTTGGAGGGGAGTTGGTTGGCGGGGTCGGTGGCGGGGGCATCATTCGTTGCGATTATTGAAAGAAGAAGGTGATTGTTTGTTTGTTTAGTTTATGCACATAGTATTAACAGTGTCGATTAAGAGGGAGGGAGGGAGGGTTGGAGGGAGGCCCCTAATTTGTCTCTTTTTTTTTTTTTTTTTGGTTTGGTTTGGTTTGGTTTGGTTGGTTCGCGGACAGAACAAGGAAGAAGACACAAACGTGACCTTGCTCGTGACCGCGGAAGGAGGAGGGGGATGGGAGAGGAGAAAAAAGGGGAAGGGAAAGTATCCATTGGAGTCCGTCCGACCCACCCGCGGAGAGTGATGGACCGAGAGCAGACAAAACAGAGACAGAGACAGAGAGATGGGGAGCACGCACGCACACACACACACACTCTCTCTCTCTCACTCACCGTTGTATCCCCACTCGCCCTTGACAATGTCCGTCAGCAGCCTTGCGTTCTGGCCCGTGTGCGTGCCGTTGAGCATGTTGTACGAGTGCATGATGGCGCCGACGTTCTCCTTCTGCACCGCGTACTGGAACGGCCGCAGGTAGATCTCGCGCAGCGTGCGGTCGTCGATTTCGCTGTCCGAGTGGTGCCGCCACGACTCTTGCTCGTTGCCCACCAAGTGCTTGACCGTCGCCACAACGCCTTGGCTCTGCACACCGCGGATCTGGTAGCCCGCGCTGATCGCCGTCAGGTACGGGTCAGCGCCTTGGCC